GGGGGGGGTCGGCCTTTTTTTTGCCCCAGGGAAAGTGCGCAATTTGCCTACTTAGGGGCGTTGGGGAAAAAAGGGGGGGGGGGTCTGACCCCCTGCCCCCCACTGGCACCACTGAGAAATAAGCAGCTTGTAATAGCAAAGGTTTTTGAGCATGCATAAGGTTACAAAGAAAATACTTCGTAATTTACGAACCATTTCTTTGTTTAACAAAGTAAATTAGTTTGCACTATGTATGCTCAAAATACTTCGTAAGGTTTTAAGGGCGCACTGCCGCCTCGTGTAATTAGTGTGATTAAATCGGTTGCACACTGCACTGGTAAAACCAATGTGGAAAGTCACGCTTGAAAACTTGAATTGAAGACTAGACTGGAAATTCTCCCCCATGCATTTAGAAATGGCATGATAGCCTGTTGCACGTCATGCCCTTTGTGGCCTGCCAGGGGGTGCGGGGCCAGGGTTGGAAACCTTCTACGCTGTAGCTAGCGAAGGGACGTGCGAAAAGATTGGAACAGTCCCGGCTGGACCATCTCTCTAAAGGCCCCGAAGAAAGAAGAGGGGGGGGGAAAAAGAGAGAGAGAGAGAGAGGGGGGAGAAAAGAGAGAGAGAGAGAGAGAGAGAGAGAGAGAGAGAGAGAGAGAGAGAGAGAGAGAGAGAGACGAGAAAGGAGAGGCTAATTCAGCGATGAGTGTCTCGGGCAGCAGACGAGCGGTCCGCTGAAATGCACTTCGGACGGGAAAGGGCAGACAAGGCATAAAGGCTGCATACAAGGAGGAGGGAAGGATACACTGGTGGAACTGACGCGTGCTTCTGCGCCTTGAGTAGGTGGAGACTTTAACGCACGTGGCAACAAGGAGCTTTTTGCACATTTTCAGAGGGTTTTCTTTTCTTGTTTTCTACGGGTTTCTTTTGGGTATGCTGAGGGACTCCCCCTTCCCTTTATTAACATGGGGGGGTGGGATATGTTAATTTAGCATTTTTTGGGGTGGCATGTCATCACAAATCTAATTTTTCTCACAAGAATGTCATCACCAGTTGATGAAATTTTTGTCACGCCCGTGCAATAAGTATAGGGGCTTGTTGATGAAAATGCCATTCCCGATTTTGTCATAAAGTCGCTACAAATTTTCTCAGTGAAATGGTGATGAAGGGGAAGGAGAGGACAACAAAGGAAGTCCAAAGGCAGAGGAGCTTTGGCGGCGTGGCCCGCGTTGCCCTCTAGTAAGGCTTGCAAATGATCCCCAAGGGGAGGGGGGAGGGGGGGGGGGGGGGGGGGAGGGGGAGGGGGAGGGGAGAGGGAGAGGGGGGAGGGGGAGGGGGGAGGGGGAGGGCAAACGACAATTGATCCCCCCTGGCCCCTAGATAGCCGCCTGAAAGGGAGAAGACGCCACACCTTGCCCTGCAAGAAGGCAGAGAGTGCCTCTACTTTGCCCCTCCCTCGGGCCGGCTCTGGATCCGCCACTGGTTCCCCTCTTCCGTCCCCGGCGGATGAGATGCCCCAGTGGAGACTGATTCCGAGGGTCGTTTCGTGCCCTGTCTCTCTCGCAGGCCCCGGACGCCCCTGAGTGCGAGAGAGACAGAGCGCCAAAACGACCCTCGGAATCAGTCTGCACGGAGTGCCACGGCACCGGCACTTTGCGCCATGCCGGGCACGGCCAGGGCCCGTATCCCCGACGGGGCCGCCTGGCCCCGCCACGCCCCGCCCCGCCACGCCACGCCTCGCCCCGCCTCGCCCCGCCCGGCCACGCTACGCCCCGTTGTCTGGTTCTGGCGTTGTGTCGTCGTTTGCAGCGCCGCCGGTTCACCGCTAATGCGAGGAACAGGAAGGACCCGCGGTGAAGCGACTCAGCTAGACCAAAAGGCGACACCAAAGGGCTAGAGACCCAAAAGGGCTTGATGACCACCCCTCGGTCAAGGCAGGCGAATTCAGTTCTAAGAGGATTTCAAGTTGTGCGGTTATTGTCTGAGTGTAAATGCAAATGAATGAATGAATGAATGAATGAATGAATGAATGAATGAATGAATGAATGAATGAATGAATGAATGAATGAATGAATGAATGAATGAATGGGGTGGACAGAGACGGACAGAAGGGGAGAGAGAGTATTTGTATAGCGTGTCTCGTGTCCGTGTATCTGTTACCGTGTCTGTGCGAGCGCCCTTGCAAAAAGTCTCGTGCTTTCGACTCATCTGGTGCACTGTGTTGCAGCTTCTGGGGGTCCTCCTCCTGCTGGCCGCAGGGACTCCGGACGTCACCTCGTCGCCGCAAACAAGGAGCAGAAAAGAGTGAGTATCGTTTCGGACGCGCACCGCGCGCAGCGGCCCGGAAGACCGGCGCAGGCGGCCAAAACTCTAGACGCGTTTTGAGCTCCAGAGTCGCTAAACGGGCCCCGAACCGAACGTGACCCCACCAATGGATTCGTCGTTCGGAGAGCAATCCATTGGTGGGGTCACACGTTCGGTTCGAGTTCAGTTTAGCGACTCTGGAGCTCAAGACGCGTCCGGGAGTTTGACCGCGTCCACCGGTCTTCTGGCCACTGAAAATCGAATAGCGACTCGAGCTCAAACGCGTCGGGAGTTTGACCGCCTCCACTGGTCTCTTCTGGCCCACTGTGCGTCGATGCGATGCCGTGTCGGGCGTTCAAATGACCCGAAAAAGGGGGAGTCTGCTGCCGCTCGTCGTCAGCGCGCCAAAACTTCTGACGTTCGCCGTCTCTCTCTTTGGTCGCCTTGCGCGGCACCGACGGCGACAGTGGCGGAGACCGGTTTTTCGGCGTGCAATCTGACGCCGTTTTGAGATCAGATCGCCAAATTGGTGAATGCTCGAACCGCTGTTGAATACAGTGGATCCTCGTGCGACAGTGCGATGCCGTGTCGCGTCAGACACAAGTCGGTTCGGTGCCCTCGCGACTCTGGAGCGCCAAAACTTCTGGACGTTTGACCGTCTCCCTCGTTGGTGCTTTGGCCCACTGGCGACGGCCGCGGATGACCCTTCGGCGTTGCCGGCCGTAAAACCAGTCGCAACAAAGCGGCGGTGAAATGTGGGAACGCGCGGCCAATCAAAGGATCCTCCGGCGAGCCAGGCGAGCCGTCTCCGCGGGGTCGCCTCGGCCCATTGGGCACACTGGGAAGCCGGAAAGTGACGTCACAATCGTTGGAACGTTCGTTTGAACACTTTTGTCTTTGTCTCACTCGTTTGAACGTGACGTGATGTGTTATTTTGGTCTGGGACCTCGTTAAGTCGCAGTCATATGACATCAAAAAATCACGAATCTTTTTTTCGGCTTATCTTTGTAAGCTTCACATTACGAAGGAAATGCGTGGCTCCATAATAAGTTTGCACAAAATTCTTTGTAGAAGTGGTATTCGTCTTTCGTGAGACTTTTCGAGTCAACGGGCAAAAAAGGCCTGTTGCTCCCTTGAAATCCGCCCCTGGCTTCCACTGATCGCCCTCTTGCTTTCCTTCGGCAGCCTCAACGCGCAGCTAGCGATCGCCCAGGCGAGGGACGGCGGCCTCGGCGGTCCGTCCGCGTCGTACGGTGCCCCCTCGCTGCCCTCCACGAGCTACGGCTCCCCGGCCGCGCCCTCCAGCAGCTACGGTGCCCCCTCGCTACCCTCGAGCAGCTATGGCGCCCCCTCGCTGCCCTCCAGCAGCTACGGTGCCCCCTCGATCCCGTCCGGCGGCTACGGCGTCCCGGAAACCCCTTCGGTCAGCTACGGCGCTCCAGAGACCCCTTCAGTGAGCTACGGCGCCCCGGAAACCCCTTCAGTTAGCTACGGCGTCCCGGCAACACCCTCCGGCGGCTACGGTGCCCCCGCGCCCAGCTACGGCGCCCCGGCGCCTAGCTACGGCGCCCCGGCACCTAGCTACGGCGCCCCCGCGCCCAGCTACGGGCCGCCCGTCGAGGAGCACCACGCACCCAAGGGCGAGCTGAAAAAGAAGCTCGTCTGGAAGCCCGACTGGAAGAAGGTGACCAAGAAGGTGAAGAAGAAGATCTGGAAGACGGAGTGGAAGAAGATCCAGGTGCCCGTCTGGAAGGAGGTCAAGGTGCCCGCCTGGAAGGAGGAGAAGGTGCCCGAGTGGAAGACGATCGCCAAGCCCGTCTGGAAGGAGATCAAGTCCCCCGCCTGGAAGGAGTTCAAGGTGCCGGACTGGAAGACGGTCAAGACGCCCTACTGGAAGGAGGTGGAGGTGCCCATCTGGAAGGAGGTCAAGGTCCCCGCCTGGAAGAAGGTCTGGGTGCCGGTCTGGGAGAAGGTCTGGGTGGAGGAGGAGAGCCACGGCTGGGACGAGCACGGCCACGGCTGGAAGAAGCCCAAGGGCGTCTGGAAGAAGAAGCTGACCTGGAAGGCGTCCTGGAAGAAGATCTGGAAGACGGAGAAGAAGCAGGCCTGGGTCAAGGAGAAGAAGGAGGCCTGGAAGGAGGACAAGGTCCAGGTGTGGCGCACCGAGAAGAAGCAGATCTGGGTCAAGGAGAAGAAGCTCGAGTGGAAGACGGAGAAGATCCAGGTGTGGAAGACGCAGAAGAAGCAAGTGTGGATCCCCAAGAAGGTCAAGGAGTGGAAGGACGACTGGGTCAAGGAGAAGGTGCCCGCCTGGAAGGAGGAGGAGGTCGTGGAGTGGAAGAAGGTGTGGAAGCCCGAGTGGAAGAGCGTGTGGGTGCCCAAGGAGGAACACCACGGCGGCTACTACTAGTGCACCTACCGGCGGCACCAGATTGGACTGAGAAACCGTTGTGGTGGTTGAATGAGCAGACTGGACAGTGGCGGATCCAGAGGAGGTCTTTTGGGGGTGGGGGAGTACTTTTTGCCTGCTGACTCAAAAGGGGAGAAGTAATGACTTTACCTTACCTATCTTCCAGGCGGTTATCCAGTTGCCAGTGGGTTGCAAAAAAACCCTGCCCCCTATGTATCCGCACCTAAAACTGCGACGCGTCGCTACGCCTGCCTCTGACGTGCACTGATGTTAGAACTTGCCAACCCGCTATGAAATGCGACTGGACTGAGTGAAACGTCCTGAGGTGGCTGGAGGAAACTCATCTGAGCATCTAAGGGTAGTTTTACAAAGTGAAGAGCAGCAAGCACAGTTGATGCGGTTGGGGTAGAACATCACGAACTCTCTTTTTCTTTTTGGCGGGTTTTGATTTTTCCAGCCCTCACCCGTCCCCTGCCCACCCCGCTAGCAGTCGAATGGCTGTGAGGGTTTGTGATGTGCCACCTCACTTGTCGTACTTCACTTTATAAAAATGCCGCATCGATGCAACTTCCTACCTCCCCGTGTGCTCTTGCAATGAATTTACGCGTTCTTTACTTTTTGGTCCATTTCGTTCCTCATCGCCATATCGAATCAAACTGTTGCGCGTAATATTTATCCTTTGGCCACGTGATTTTGAGAAGCCAGAGCCCTTCTCGCACTAAGAAAAATCAACAGAGCAACAACTTGAAAGAGTTTTGGTACCTGTGGTCAGTGGTTCGGGTCTGCATTCTTAGCTCATAGAACGCACTGGAATGAAAGCGAATAAGGATCGAGTGTGGATAATCCCTTCAGAGAATCCTAGACTGACTACGTAAGAATGTATTACCTCTGGAGCACACACTTTCGTTCGATCCTGCGTGTTGTTTTTTGTTTTGCGTGATCCGTAGCAGATTTGCCACACGATTTTAATGTACGACTTCATGTGATGTTTTGTACAAAAAAAATCTTCAAAACTAACAAATCAAAAAAATCAGTATTCAATTTTTTCTTTAGATTAAGCTCTGAAAGATACGAAGTAATTTAATGAGTGTAAAATGTTAACGTTTTGTGTTACATAATTAATGTTACAACATAACACCCGCAAGAAAATAGTATGATTGTTACACTGTGTCCCTTGGACACACGTTATTGTTGAAGTTTTCATTGTTGTTGAGTGTTCATTGATGATGTTTCTGTTTTATCATGTAACAGTGTTGTTGACTATTTTTACGGAGCAAATTATGTAAATAAAATTGCTTTAAAAACGTTTTTAATCTGCTCATTGCGTATGTTCCACAACCACGCGAAAGTTTCACAGCAGTGTCAAGCAAAGAATCATACCACACTAGATGAAGACGCCTGTGCTGTTGGCAGCCCATTCGATTCTGACTCTAAGAGTGCTGCACGCACAACATGAAGTGTTTGCCAGGCATGCAGCAAAGGAGTGCGTGCTTTGTGGTTCACTCTATGTAGTGCGTGCTTAAGTTAAATTGAGGTTCCAGAGTGTGAAGGGCAGTCTAACAGTCTGGGACTCCACCTGTAGGGATCTAACGCCTGTGGCGGGCAGGGTAGGCCACCCTCTCTACGCCGCTGTGTGGCAAGACGGGCTGGTGGCCCGCCTCACAGGCGCTCCATGCCGGCCCCGCCTCACTTAGCCTCACTGTCACTGCTTTGTAAGTGAACGATCCGGAACGATCCATACTGCAAAGCATGGAATTCTTAAGTCCACATTTCAAGGAATGGGCCACCCTTTTTGTCCATGCTTTATAGAGTAGTTCTATGCTTGAAAGCGTGGATCAAAATATGGGGACCAACTGGGAAACACTATTTAACGTCAGGCGCGTAAATAGAAAATGAATCGTTTGACACACGTCGCTTGAAAGTATCCACGAGAAAGATGAAAAGGCCTAAAGATCCTCCATAAACCCCCAATTGAAAGAAAAATCAAACCAACGCCGAAGAAACAAGATTCTTTATGAGAGTGCGCCCCTGACAAGTCGAACCTTTGCGCTACGCGAAAGAGAAATTAACGCGTAAACATCGGGATCAGTTGATCCTGAAGTAGATGACACGTGCCTCTTAATCTGGCCCCGATTCAGAGGCACATTTGAAGCAAAAGGCGCAGCAAAGCGTGGGCGTCATTTGGGTTGCCTACCCGACCGGCGCCTCCCTGCTCTGCACCGAAGGGGTACTGGCTCCATGACTAGCTCCAGGCGAAGCCCTTACGGGTCGAGCCTGTAAGGACACTGTCAAGAGCCGAAATGGCCCTCGAAATAGTGTCAGGAGTCATTATGGAGTGCCCCATCACAACATGCTCAAATTTTGACCATTATAAGGTTCAGCCCAAAACGTTAAAAAATCATGATGTATAGCCTTAGCTTTTTTTTCGACAAAAATAGTCGACCACCTCAGATTTGTCTGACATTGATATGGAACGTTGACATGGGTCTGAGAAACAGATGTCCGGTGTCCAATGGTCTTTGACACTTTTCACTTGGTGTGGAATTGGAAATTCCGGTGTTGCTAGTTGAATTCTGATGTGGTGAAGAGTCTGTGACCGATGGGATGCCTACCTTCGTGCCACATACTCTAATGATTCCAGTTTTTTGCTAGAAACGGCTCATGCAGCCACCAGAAAAGACACCAAAAGAAGAGGAAGATTGATGGAGAATGAATGCGAAGAGCGGAAGGATCAGATGGCACGTTTGAAAGAGGAGGCTATTAAATTAAACCAGCCAATAGTATTGAAGTGCGTGCTATTTATTTTTCTGGATTGCACAATTTACTGGGTTGTTAGTTTTGCTTTCTTTGATTACCAAATATTTTTATTTCAGAGACTACCAAATCAAGTGCCTTCAAAAAGAAAAAGGAATGATACTAAGGCCACCAAAGAGTCCATGAAAAAGCCGCAGTGAAATGAGTGAAGTTGTCTCATAGTTGAAACTATTTTACGTGCAGCTGAGTTTCTGCATACTGGGTGCGTTAATCCTGGTGTAAGATTACCAATTATGTTGGTACTTTGTATGGTCAAAATGTAGTAATTAAATTCTTCTGCCACATACTAACTAGGGAATTCAGGGCTTTCCCTGAACACTCTATAATCAAATCTTACTTTTAAACAAAATTAAGAATCACCACATTTTGGTGGTTTCTTTTTAAATATAGTATATAAAATCACCAAAACAGCCCTGTTCACAGAAGATGAAAATCATCAAGATTCGCTATTCTAGCTAAGCCAACCGACACCTGGACTATGGCCTTCCTTGCTTACCCTGCCTAGTGTGGGTCCTCGTTTAGTGGGCTGTAGTCTAGTGCCACCCAGGGCCGCTGTTGCTGCAACCGTGTGCATAAAAAGAGGAAGCAACTTGTATTGAAGTGCTTTTGAGAGAGCATAAAATAATTCTGAGAGAATTTTGATAAGAATGTTGAGTCAAAGAATTCTTGAGTATTATTGTAAAAAAGTATATTAGTATTCACTATGGGTACATTAAAATAGGACATGGACTATCCCTCCAATGAAATTTTATTTACAAAACCACGCAAACAAAATATTTTGGGCTCTTTTTATTTTCTTCAAACATATTCCCTACAAAAGAGCAGAGTAAATCAAACAACCTGTCTTGTAGAACAGCAAACCTTGGCACTGTATCTTAGAAGATTCTTCATAGCAGTTACTGAACAAGATGACAGCACTGTGCATAATAACTATGCCATAATAACTATGCCATAACAGCTTTATCAATCATGTAAAAATATTGCATTGGCAAGCATTAAATTAGTGAATGGGAACAAACGAATTTAAAATAAATTGTGGATATGTACAGTAACAATCATAACAACACTAAAATTAATTTCATTAAAAAGGCTATCCAACTTGTAAAATTCTAAAATACTTCCTAAGTTTTGGTCTCAACTTGCTAGTACTTTAAGCCATTATACATACGAACAAACAGTTTACTTTATTTGATAATCTGAGCCATTTATTGGTAAAACCTTGTTCCGAGTTATGGAATCTAGAACCCAACGTGGGTTAACACAATTGACAGTGCCTTTGGGACTCGGCTCACCACCCACAACTATTTTTGCATCTTGCTTCGATGTTTTGAGGTCTGCCCCGCAGAGCTCCAGAAGTTCACGAATATCCTTTGCTGGTGGTCCATCACACTTTGGCGAAACATATATAGGCCCACTTTTTGCAAACAGATTGTGCTTGTAATCTTTACCAACTGCTTGGCGCTTCATGCGACAGAGCTGCAAACATAAGAGAAAATTAGCAACAACCCAAATTACAAAAATAACAGTGAATAAATTTTCCTATACATACTCTCACTCCTGGGGAAAACTTGGTGAGCTCATATTTTTCTTCATCCAGCCAAGTGCCAGCTTTACCAGAATCGAGCATCTAAGGAGAAATTTTCCACAGAAAATATCAGTTTCCACAAAAATTAATAAAATGGGTGATATTGTTTTGTTTTCTTTCCAGGCACTTACCCATTGCTGGTCCACTAGCCAACAGCCTCTAGAGAGTCCCTTCAGCATGTTTAAAGTCCGTTTTGGGCCACTGTTGATGACATGTGTTGTGCGAGGTGTTACCTTCTCTTCTAATTTCCAGCCGCCTAATTTTGTTCCCGCAACATCAATGCCATTTTGTTCACTGCAAAATAGTTGTACATCAAAATAAAAACGATTAATGCACAATTTGAGCTTAACATTAAGCAATTTAGTAGATTTAATGAGACCTACCTTGCTGTCAGGAAGGTGCACACAATTACTTTCAGGGCATTGCTTTTGTAGTTCCTCGTGAGACTTACAGCCATACGTTTTCTTGCTTCTTCTGATGATTTTCTTCCAGATGATTTTGTGCTGTCAGTAGATAAGTCAGATCGTGATTCAGTCAATTTGTTATTCCCATCTACTCTACTAGCACGGGTTCTTCTGCTCCCAGAAGTGCTGTCTGACTCAGAATTATTCATTTTAGGCTTTTTGCTGCTCTTGTCTGGAACACTTTGAACCCTCTTCCTTCCAACTCGTCTTTGAGAAATAGCTGTGTCAGTGCTTCTGTCTGTATCTCGACTAGCTGGTGATTCACTATCATAGACATCACTTCTCTTCTTAGGTGGTCCAACAATTGGAGAAAGAAAGTCTGTGATTTTTTTCCTCTTGCCTGATGCTCCAGTACTCGTGTTTGTTCGATTCTTATCTGTTTCAGTGTCCGTATTACTCCCTATAGAGTTTGAAGTTTCATATCCTGAACTGAAGTGGGCTTCCTGAGCTTTGTTTATCAGTATGACTGGAGTTGATGTGGCAGTGTCAGTTTCTGCTCTAGATGCAGAGTTAGACACACCTTCATCATTCTTGACAACAGTGACAACAACTTTTGCTCTTGGTTTAAGCAATTTTGTCATTTTATCAAGTGATGATGCTTTACTTTTCAGCCCTTTCTGTAAACCATCCTGCACTGCTTGGTCCTTTAAATTTTCTCCTCGTTTGGATATAGCAGGTGATGTTTCACTTTTCTTGCGGATTGACTTGCGAGGCGACCGCTGTTTTTCCAGACACATGTTGACATCATTAGGTGAATTTTCATTTGCAGATTTTTCACCACCATTCAAACTAGGGGCTGAAAGTTGATTTAACCTCAGTGGAGAGTTGGACTTCTTTGAAGAAATGGGCGAAGACCTGACTAATGCAGTTGGGTCAGCCAACGGGTTTTCTGTTTCTTCAGGAGCGTTTTCAGTCTCTTTAGAAAAGGAGTAGTAAATAGTGGCAGTACTGTCTTGGGAAGAAACCTCTTTGGACGGATTTTGATTTCTATTTTGAATGGTAGATGTTGTCATAGCTTTCTTGGAGTGTGATGAAAACAAAGGGACCCTGCAGCTTTTCTTTACCCAAGATATCACTGAACTGGTCAAGGACTGGTTCATTGAAGCAACAGGTTCTTGATTTTCAACAGGAGTAGGTGGGATAACACAATGAAACTCAGGCTTAGAATTTGAATTGGAACCAAGTTCTGGAGTTTCTTCCACAATCACATTACCCATGTGACCATTGCCAGGAGTTTTATCCACAGGCGTAAATTTGGGTAAGAGTAGCTTATTAATATAGTCTATAGGGTTTAAAGACGGTCTCCTTTCCCCTAAAGAACTAGAAGCATCCTTGTCCATGCCATTGTGCTCACTACTCTGTTTAGGTGCATTTAGTTGCTTCTTTAGGGGCCTCCTAAACTTTGACTTTTTGATGACAAAAATTGGTGACGGCTCCCTTTCAGGTTCCTCTGCAGCACAAACCTTTTCATCATCTTCCACTGTGCCAGAGCTTGGTAGATAGCTGGAGGAGCATCCCACTTGTGACGATGGGTTCCCATTGATCAGCACTCTAGTACTTGTTGAAGACACCGTGGATCCTGCTTCAGAGGAGCATCTACTGGTACAGTACCTTACTTCTGTATCACATGCAGCATCAGCATCATCCTCTACATCCACTACAACACTGTCTTCCATTGCCCTTCGACTATTTAATCTCTCCTTGACGAGATTATTGTCTGATACCAGGCTTGCACTCTTTGGACTTGATGAGGTTGAGGCTTCACTTTCGGGACCCTCTTGAGCAACCGCATTGTAAGATCTAATAACCTGAGAAAGTGTTATACGCTCATCTCCAGCTCTCACAGAGCCCCTCCGCATTTTTGCCATTTCATCAATGCTGGGCATATCTCCTGGTTCCTGAGACAGCAGGAGGAAGTCGTCTCCAGGAGATGATGGTGGAGCAGGCATCTTTTTCCGGAGAAGGGCAACACTTGCCGAGGTACAGGTAGATGGTTTCTGCGCAGTCTGGTCCTGTGCCTTCTTTGAGATCTTGACAATGCCAGTGACATGACGGGGACTTTTCCTTGCTGGAACTGCAGGAAACAAGAAACAGTCTGAAGAATCTGATGCATTGCGAGGACTTCTTCTGGGAGAAACTTTGTTGGCCGGAGGGTTCTTCCTTCTAATTTTAACGGGTGGAGGTCCAACTCCTTTCCTCCACGGTGAAACATCACTTTTGTCCTTGTCACTTTCATTCGGTAATGAGAGGCATATGTCATTTAAGCCTTCAATGAACTCTCTTCGGGTGATGGGTGTGTTGTCTAGAAGTTTTTTTGACTTCGTTGAGGATTTTCCTGAATGCCCAGCCTTATTTTCAGGCAAAGTTGAGCAGCCCTTGGATCCATGAGCTGCAAACAACGATTCCACATTTTCAGTTGTTCTTGCCTCTGCAGTATGAGTTCCTCCTAATGCTTCAGAAGCGGCAGTTTTATTAACAACATCTGGGGTGATTTCTTGAAGGGCTGGTTTATTCTGAGTGCCTTTGGACCTTGTGCCCTTCTTGCTTGCTTTATTTCTAGGCTGCTTCTGTACTTTAGGTGGACTTGTTTTCTGTAATAGGAAAAAGAAACAGAGAGAGAGATAAGACACATTTGGCAGCCTTCAGCAAGCACAGATGCTAGTCATATTTAATGATAAAATGAAATGAAAAGATTCTTACCTTGGTTCCATCCTCACCCGATTCTTCAGAGGCATCAGGTACAGTGGCAAGTCTCTTTTTGCGTTGGCATTGAGCCATTCTCTTCAGCCTTCGCTTAGTCTTCATTTCAACTGCATCATCATCAGAATCTGGCTGCATTGATTTCATTTTCTGAAAATTTTTATTTCAATTGTGAAAAATAATGTCTCTTGATAATCAAAAACAGGAAATAAATGTAAATACAGTAGTGAGATTACCTTGAAATTTTTTAAAGAGTCAGGATTTTCATAAATTTGTTGACCAATAGGTGGGTAACCTGCCTCAGAAACTTTGGCTAAAGCTTCTTTGCAGGCTTCAATCCACAGCACCGACACAAGGTGACATTTGAACTTCTTGGCTTTCTTGTATGTAGAGGGCAGTCCTTCATTAAAAACTACATGAGTCACCTAAAAAAGATGCAAAGCAAAAGATAGTGGGCCTATGAAACAATTTTTAGAAAGTACAGTCAGATGTTTTTACTTACATTTCGATTCAGAGTTTCCTCTATAGTTGCACCCAGACTTCTCATGTGAGCTTTTACTCCTTTGGACCGATTGTCATGGCCGGATCTTACCTCCACATATGCAACAACACCTGCAAGGCATAGATAGAAGGAGAAAAGAGAAAAATATTTCAAACTTGAATTTATAAAGAAAACACAAAACCATACATGACAAGTCACTCAATTCGGTAGGGATAAAAGCTCTGTGAAAACGCATACCTGAGAGTAGCACAGACATGACTGGTTGCGTAGCAGGAAAATCATCTTCTTCGTCTTCAGCCCCAGCCATATTGTAGATATTTTAAATCTAATCCTGTACAAAAAATAAGAGGAATGAACGAATGAGTTGTCTGAATGCTCACACAAAGACAAATCTGTTTAGTCAAAGGAATATGTAAAGTAAATGATGTTGAGGCAAATAATGTATTGAAAAGGTGGGCTTATAAAAAATTAAATTGAATGACCAGTTCAACATGAACTTCAGTTCTTCTTCACAAATATAGATTAATCAATGAATGAGGTTAGAGTAGTGTAAACAACGCAGAGCGCGGCAAAAACAATATTAACCAGGCATAGGAATGTATGAAAGATAATTGAAAACAACAGAGGCATACCAAAATCAAACAACACGTCGACAGGTAAGTTGAGTGGAAAGTGTAGGAGTTCACTTCAAATCGAGAGCCGGAAAAACAAATTTTGAATTTGCAACACAAACGGCGGCGGACAAACGGGCAGAGGACTCGATGTATCGACAGGTAGATCGATTCTAAGGACCCTTGATACTTTTTGCTTGTCTTGCGTAGGGAGTGATAATTGTTATCATGTTAAGAGAGAGACACTCTTTTCTTAATTTTTATCTGTTCAAATCACGCAGATTGTCTGGTTTTCTGAAAACCCCGCGTTAACCGCTGCGGTCACGGCGGGGTGGACTCGCGCCGCCCCGGTCGGTGGCGGCCTCTGTGTGCCGAGCGGCGAAGCGGCGAAACAGAAAATCGACGTTGAAATGTCAAAGATGGCGGCGACAAGAGAGTAACCTATGGATATTGATCATCGGTTTTGGCGTGTTTCTCGGTGTAAATAGTGTCGCGCGGCCGCCGAGTGACTGGCGGACTGCGGCCCCGGACTTGGGCTTCCGCTGGCGCAGCGTGGCGCGGCGCAGCGGCGCGCGTGAAGGCCCAATGTGCGAAAACCGCGAGTGAAGTGTTGTCGTTGTCGGCCTCGGCGGGGCTGGGCTGCCTGGGCCTCACAGTGCCTCGGCTCGGTTAGGTTCGGCAGATCCGCGACATGGGCGCTCAGCACGCCAAGGAGCGCACCGTGCCTGGCAACCCCGGCAACCCCGCCGGCCACGGCCTCAGCCTCGGCCACGCCAACCTCCCCAACCTCGGCAACCTGACCACCAGGAGCGTGCGGAGCAAGCCGCGGCCCGCCAAGGACGGCCGGCTCCAGGGCAACAACATCTTCACCGAGCACAGTGGTAGGTTGCGGAGCCGCCAGCTCCAGGGCCTCCAGGGGCTGCAGCGGCAGCGGTCCAGCAGGGGCGGTGCAGGGAGGGGGGGCACGCCCCCGCCGGCTGCGTGTTCAACACCTTCCAGGACACTGGCAGGCTTGGGGAAACTTCCGCTGTGGAAGTGGTCCAGACAGAACATATTCAGTGTTCGCAAAGTCTTGCGCATGCTGCTCACTTGAGGGCAGGTTTGGTGCCGCCTAGTTATTACCGTTGCTTTCTGTAGGGATCTCGATCACCTCATTCATGTGCTTAATCCCTGTCTATTTGTAACGATGAGTGTGACTGATGTCCTCCGTTGAGGTGTCTCCTTATCTCTGTGTGTCACAAGGCGAGCTGCATTCAATTGTTGCTTCTAATGTTTTGTTATTTTGCCTTTATCTTTTTCTTTTGGCTGTGCCAATTTGGTAGATAGTGAGTATGCGAACCCTGTCAGGCCTGTAAACACCTGAAAGTATGCGTCTTGTGCACAACAACGTTTTGCAGCACAGGTTTGAAAGTGGCCAAGTTTCGTGTTACATATCTTTCTATTTTCTTTGTGGTGTTCACTGGACGTACAGGGTGTTGATGCGTATATGTGTGTGATCAATTTGGGTTTCGAAAGGTTTATAACCTGTAACTGTGGTTTGTTTGGCTGCCCTCTAAAGGCGGGCTGCTAGCCAGTTATGGAGCCAACAGACAGATTCTGAGGGTGGTCGCTTTCGTCGCTCTGTCTCTCTCGCACTCTCGGGCCGGCTCTTGTTGGTGTGAGAGAGACAGAGCGACTGAACTGCCTCTCGGAATCAGTCTGCTGTCAGCTGTACTTAGAGTTCTCCCTCGGCCGCGCAACACAGGGCTGTAGGATTCCGGGTGACGGCCCCTCTGCTAACGATTCACAAGAGCGGGTTGTCGCTGTCTCTCTCGCACCCTCGCGCAGAGCCCCGTGAGTGCGAGAGAGACAGAGCGACGGAGCGACTGTGCCCTCCGCGCGCTGCGTTGCTGCGTTCGCGCTCTTGATGCATCCCAGCCGCGGTTAGTCACGCCGCGCTGGGGAATCCCTCCCGAGCCTCCCGACCCGGGTTCGAATCCCTCACGCCCCGACGGCGCGCGTTGAAAGGGACGGGCACGCACTCCGGGCTGAGCCCCGTCCCTCTGTCTCTCTCGCACTCGAGGGGCGTCCCGTGGGGGTGCGAGAGAGACAGCAGACTGATTCCGAGCACTGCTCTCGTCGCTCTGTCTCCCTCGCACTCATGGGGCGTGCCACAAGGGTGCGAGAGAGACAGAGCGACAAGCAGTGCTCGGAATCAGCCTGCAGCCCGGCCCGGGTTCGACTCCCAGACGGTGCGCGTTTTAGCAGCTCGGCGACACGCGAATGGACGGGCCGGGCATCCACTCGCGGCCTGTCGCGCTGTCTCTCTCGCTCTCGGTGGGCGTACCGCGGGGGTGCGAGAGAGACAGAGCGACGAAACACGGCTCGGAATCGGACGGATTGTGCGCCGCGGGGCGTAAATCAGAGTGCCTCTGGATGGATGGACGTGCCGCCGGCGACGCCCCCGCACCGCCACGCCACGCCACGCCACGCCACGCCAGGCCACGGCGGCGCGTAGTATTCCACATTCACCCGCGCTGCCATAGTGCCACACCCCTCGCCTCCCTCCCTCGGCTACTTCCTATTTCTCTCTTCGTTTGACCTCCCCGCCGACCCTCGCCGCGCGCCCCGCGCCCCTGCCCACCCTGCAGGCTGATTCCGAGAGTCGCTCTCGTCGCTCTGCCTCCCTCGCACCCCCACGGGCCGCCCCATGAGTGCGAGAGAGACAGAGCGACGAGAACAGTGTGCTGCCTGCCGCGGGGACCGGCCTCGCTGCACCGCGACGCGCCGCGACGCCCTCCTGCAGCACGGCGACTCCGAACAGCGCTTTCGTCGCGCTGTCTCTCTCGCACTCATGGGGCGGTCCGTGGGGGTGCGAGGGAGACGGAGCGACGAAGCGGCGCTCGGAAACGGCCTGCTGCCCCGACCCGACCCACCCTTGGCGCGCACCTCGCCTCCCCACGGCCCACCCCCGCACTCCGCCACCCCCGCCCACCCGCCTCCTCGCCGCCCACCCCCGCCACTCCATGTCATGAGATGTTAGTTTTCCGCTGGGTCTACAGTGCACCGCACGCGCGGTGAGGGCGCGACGCGGTGCTTGTCGCGCCGGACACTCTCTCTCTCTCTCTCTCTCTCTCTCTCTCTCTCTCTCTCTCTCTCTCCTCCTCTCTCTCCTCCTCTCTCTCTCCCTCTCCTCTCTCCCTCTCTCCCTCTCCCTCTCTCCCTCTCTCTCCCTCTCTCCCTCTCCCCCTCTCCCCCTCTCCCCCTCTCCCCCCTCCCTCTCTATCCCTCTCTCTCGCACGGGACGTCCCATGAGTGCGAGAGAGACAGAGCAACGAAAGCGACTCTCCGAAGCCACTGTATCGGCAGCAGTTCTGATTTTTCGAGCAGCAACTCGTCGCTCTGTCTCTCTCGCACCCCTACGGGCTGCTCCATGAGTGCGAGAGAGCACCGGTCGGTATCTAACGGCAGGCGAGGATGCAGTGGCGTTATCTCTCGCTCTCGGCTCTCCCCGAAGGAGGGCCAAAGTTTTCTTTCCGAATCCAATTTTCGAATGTTTGTCTGAAAACACGCGACCTGCAATACAAAGCCCCTTCGCGTTTTCTCGTACCGATTTCGCCTGCCGAGCGATTCGGCAGAGCCGTTTCGTCGCCCTATCTCTGTCGCACTCTGGGGCTCTAAGGAAGGGTGCGAGGAGGACAGCACCGGAATTCAATGCGGAGGGACCAGTCAAGGGCGGATCCAGAGACGGTTCAAAACAGTGTGGCGAAGTAGCAGAAGTTGAGTACTTACAGGGGCAAAGTGCGGCGGTTTACCCACCTTTCAGGCGGCGTTGCCCCCCCCCCCCCCCCCTTCCCCTTCCCCTTACCCCCAATCCGCATCTGCGGACTGATCACCAAGGGCGTCCCGTGTAGGTGCGAGAGAGACAGAGCGACGAAAACGACTCTCGGAATCAGTCTGCTGGAATGAGTAAGGTCTGCCGGACGAGGGTGCACTCTAAATGTTGTGCAGTGAAGATTCTCCATATTATGGTGAAAATGTTCCATATTATGGTGGTGCAGCTGACTTCGTAACATACCATTGAGAATTCACTGTACCTTATAGATATTTTGACGAATTTTGTTGGTATTATGGAGAAAATCTCCACCATAATATGTTGGTGCAGCCGTTCACCGTAAGACATTTACTGTGTGGCGACGAGGACGGGCTGCTGGTCACCGCCACCGCGCGCCGCGTCCCCGCAAAGGCGGCTTTTGTTCCGCACAGCACGCGCCCTGGGCGCGGCCCTGGGTTCCCGGGTTCGACTCCCCGCCGCGGCGACATTTGCACCGTGTCGACGGGGCGCGTCTATTATCTCTCCGTGTCACCGAGACTCGGCACGCTCGGCGGGAACGATTCCGAATTCGCTGATCGCTTGCGTTGAACTCTCCTCCCTTTGCTGATGTGTCAGAGCAGCAAGGTCCCCCCCCCCCCTCTTTAAGGTCATATGGAAGATAGGTCTGCGCAACCGAGATGCATGCTGAGAGACCGGGCAGCTTACCCCTTCTTACCCCTGGTCACCTTTGGTCCAAGAATGCCGCCTGAAATTTTGACAAAAAGCAACACGTGCAAATGCCATATGGCAATTGCTTTGCAAGTGGCCTGTCAATCGCTACTTTGCCCCTCCCTGCCGATTCTGGATCTGCCTTTGCTCGCACTCACGCACTAGAAAGAGCAAGATAATCCAGCCAGGCCGTATCTCTGAGACGCTGTGAGACTCTTGACCTACCGCGTAGCTCCGAAAACTGCGAATAGGATTTCTGCTTGACAAAATTACCGCTCACCGCTCTTCAGGTTTCGCTTCTCCAACCGCCGCGGAGGCTGATTGCACGGGTCTATCCTCTTAAGCGAAACGCGTGGAGTAGTCAGTTACCGTCAGTCAGCGCCGAGTCAACCAGACGCCTCCTTAAAACGTCTTAAAATCGTTCCAAAAGGCTGACAGGGTCCTCAAAGTACATTTTGACGTTCAAGCATTATAATTCTGTGAAAATTTTGGTTAAAAAGCGATGTTTTGTTGTTAGCATGGGTTAGGTTAGGTTGACTCACAAAAGCGCTACTACAAAACACCGTTTTAACGAAATTGTCACAGAATCATAATGCTTGAATGTAAAAAGTACTTGAGGACCCATGTCAGTCCTTTTGGAACGATTTTTACGGCTGTTTTAAGTAGGCGGGCCGATCGACTGACTGACTGACTGACTGCCTGACTGACTGACGTCCTGACGCGTTTCGCTTAAGTGGATAGACCCCAGGAGGAAGGATCCGGGTGCCTGCCGGGAGGGGGAGGGAGGGGAAGGAAGCCCGCGAGTCGAGGGTCGAGTCAACATAAGCTGGGATTTATTCTTATCCCCCGCGCGCGCCCGCCGCGTCCCGCAGAACAGACTCGTCGCTCCGTCTCTCTCGCTCCCATACGGCACGCCCCACGAGTGCGAGAGAGACGGAGCGACGAAAATCGACTCTCCTCCTCGGCATCCAGTCCCGCAGAGTAAACATATCCCCTTTATCGGCCGCATCCGGCGCGCCATTGACGGCGCAACGCGCTCCATGGCGGAAGCGCTGCCTTACAGTGGGCCAGAAGGCCGATGGAGGGGCCAAAATCTCGGACGCGTTTTGAGCTCCAGAGTCGCCAAATGGGACTTGTACCGGACGTGTGACCCCACCAATGGATCCCTCGTACGGAGAGCAATCCATTGGTGGGGTCACACGTTCGGTTCGAGTCTCATTTCGCGACTCGGGAGCTCACAACGCGTCCGGGATTTTGACCGCCGTCACCGGTCTTCCGGACCACTGTGCAGTGGGCCTTACAGTGGGCCGCGCCGATCGTCCATTCAGCCCTTCATTAATTTTGAACGGTGCGAGTTTTGAGGGGCCGGCGGAGCGCTGCCGCCCCACAGCGTTTTGCCGGAGAGGAGCGCCTCTTTTTTAGGAATGCCGCGGTGAATTATCAATGAATGAGTTTCAGGGGTCGGGGATGGGGAGTGGGACTTTCCTGGTGACCGTGACCCGCCGAGGAAAGGCCTCCGAGAGCACTACAGCCTCGTCTGAATTGTTTTCTCTGGCCTCATGACGGTCTGGATGACGGTCTGGATGACGGTCTGGATGACGGTCTGGATGACGGTCTGGATGACGGTCTGGATGACGGTCTGGATGACGGTCTGGATGACGGTCTGGATGACGGTCTGGATGACGGTCTGGATGACGGTCTGGATGACGGTCTGGATGACGGCCTGGATGACGGTCTGGATGACGGTCTGGATGACGGTCTGGATGACGGTCTCGATGAGGGATGTCTGATGAGGATATGGGATGACGGTCGGCATGGGGTAGCCCGGCCGGCATCTCTGCGTTCTGCGACCCCCTTCCCCCTTGTTTCCCCTTTCCTGCCCGTCTGGCTGTTGTTGCTGGCCCCGTGTTGTTGTTTTGCAGCAGACTCGTCTCCGGCCGAAACAATGAGCCCGACAAGGGCACGATAAATAAATTGGAGCGCCTCCTTGCGTCCCGTGCGCGTGCATCTCATCCCGATGCTGGGAAGGAGGGTTGCCGACGTAGGGAGGGCCCCGCCGTTGCGGTGTGTGTGTGTGTGTGTGTGGGTGTGTGTGTGTGTGGGGGGGGGGTAATACTGTAACTGCACGACCGCGCCACAGTAGGCCCCAGAAGACCGGTATAGGTGGCCAAAACTCTAGACACGTTTCGAGCTCCAGAGTCGCTAACTGGGACTAGAACCCAACGTGTGACCCCATCAATGGATTGCTCTTCGAACGACGAATCCATTGGTGGGGTCACACGCTTGGCTCGAATCCTGCTTGGCAATTCTGGAGTCAAAACGCGTCGAGAGTTTTTGGCAGCCGGCACCGATGTTCTGGCCCACTGTGCGCGCGCCGCGCCAGAGTGACGAGCGACGGAGGGTAGGAGGGCTTACGGAATACTCTCTCTCTCTTTCTCTCTCTCTCTCTTTCTCTCTCTCTCTCTCTCTCTCTCTCTCTCTCTCTCTCTCTCTCTCTCTCTCTCTCTCTCTCTCTCTCTCTCTCTCTCTCTCTCTCTCTCTCTCTCTCGGCGGCTTCCAAGTGCCCGGCGCTCCAGACCGCCGCTGTGAGTCGTCCGAAGAAGTATTGAACTGCTCCGGCCAGACGACCGCCGCGCCAAAATGAAGCCTCGCTCTGGAATCTCCATCCCCATCCCCCCTACTTTTCCCCGATGAACCCGCGCGCCCCTCCTTGCCCGGATAACCTCCCCCCATCCCGCCCCCGCCCCTAACCCCGATCGCCTCCTTCGGTCACCCTCCCCCCTGTCGCCCCCCTCCGTCCCCCTCCCCTACACCACCGTCTCCGTCTGGACCGGCCGCCGCGTCTGCAGTGGTATTCTTATTAGCTGCGATGTTCCGGCGTTGACAGGAGGCGCCCCTCTTCCCCCCCCCTCTCTCTCTCTCTCCCCCCCCCCGTCCCCCTCTCCCTCCCACAGAGACATATACAAATACACATACATTCACAGTGCGGGTGAAGGGGAGGGAAGGGGGCGGGGGCGGCTTGCCGAGACGTGAAGCAGCGGCAGTGGCGGCATGGTGGCGGCGGCGTATGATGATGAGAACGAAGACGGGGTCCAGGAGGGGGCGGGGGAAGGGGGTATGCCCCGTCCCGGGCTGCCTGCGGTAGGTCCTTGCCTGCGTATAAATATGAAGGGGGGAATTCAGCCTTGGCGAAGGCCGGGCCGCGCCTCGCCAAAATGGAGTGCATAATTATGGTGGCCGGTCGTGGCAGCGGTCGTCCTCACGCAGCGCGACCGGCATCGGGACGGCCGCCGGGGAACGGCCACTACCACGACGGCCACCACGACCACCATCAGGACGGCCAGCACTATGACGACCACCACGACGGCCACCACCACCACGACGACCACCACCACGACGGCCACCACCACCACGACGGCCACCACCACTTCGACGTCCACCACCACCACGACGGCCACCACCACGACGGCCACCACCACCACGACGGCCACCACCACCACGACGGCCACCACCACCACGACGGCCACCACCACCACGATGGCCACCACATCCACGACGGCCACATCCACGACGTCGACCACCTTGACTTTCATTACGATGACGACTAACACCACGGTGATTACTACCATGAAGACAACCACCGCCACGACGGATCTTAACCAGGCCGGCGTGCTTGTAGGCCATTGGGCGGAGCTTTGCCGTGGGTCGCGACGGCGCGCGTCGTCCCGGTGGCGTGCAACTGTTTTTCCGCTCCGCACGGAAAAAAAGAAATTCGCTGATTCAGCGAGAAAATCGCTGACTCAGCGAATTTTGGCCTTCTAGATTTGAGACAAGGGGCAAATTCGCTGAAACAGCGAACTTTTGTTCGCCAAACAAATATTCGCTGGAATAGCAAACAAATATTGCTGGGATTGCGATTCATGAACGCTGGGGCAGATACGGAATGTTGGATAGGAAATGTGTTAGCGACTTTGGTTTCGCTGAAATAGCGAACAATCTTTGCCCCTAATCTAGCAAAACGCGTATCGCTGGCTGATCCAGCGTCAACATACTTGCTGTTTGACGTTGGTCCAGCCCAACGGATGTGCACCGTATGATACCTGGTGACGCTCAGCTTCGCAAATATCCAACCTCGGTTGGATTTGAACCCGTGATCTTTTCAATACCAGACGCACGCTTTACCTCCAGGCTACCATGACATTCTCCTCGCATCAGCCAGAGGTTCGCACTTGTGTCCTGCGCCCACTTTCGACATGCTGTTTGTTCGTTTAGCAAATAAATTCGCTCATTGGTAGGCAAAATGTGATTGCCACATCAGCTAACTGGGGTTCGCTAAACTAGCGTTATTTATCCTCGTGTCAGCGTTTATTTTCGCCACTTCAGCAAACTTGAGTCTAGCAAACGCAGTTTCGCTGAAGTAGCGAAATATTTTTTTTCCGTGCGGTTGCTGCACGCTGCGCTCTGCCGCCGTGCTCGTCATCGTCGTGAGCGTGGCGACGCGGTGCCGTCTCTGCCTTCGCGCGTCGCAGCGGACTGATTCCGAGAGTCTTGTTCGTTCGCCCTGTCTCTCTCGCACCTGTGCGGAACGCCCCACGAGTGCGAGAGAGACAGGGCGACGAAAGCGACCGAGGGGTACGTAACTCTCGAAAATCGTGTACAGCGACTGTAAAAGTCTACGTCAATATTTATGTTTGAAAGAAGACGTGTAGACGACTCCAAAACAGTCTAGTCCTTTCCCGGAAAAATGAAGGGGAATTTTGGACCCCCCCGCCAAAATGGGGTGCATAATTTTGGTGGGCTGTTTTACGCAGTACCCCCAAAGGCGCGTGGGAACGTACTACAGAAAAAATGGGGGAAACACTATGACGAACCAAAAAAGACGGCAACAAGACGGCCCCCGTGCACTACACGGACCCCACTTCGAAATATTCATTGCCACGCGGACCACCACGAGGCCCCACAACACCACGCGGCCAACAATGACGGCCACCACACACACAGGGCAAAAGTGGCCACCAATTTTTACGACGTACAAAATTCCCTAGACGGGGCACCTTCGTGTCTTACCATGGGGATACCACGGGGATTTAAGAAGAAACCACGCCACGACGGATCGTTTAAACCCTCTTTGATTCCTTTTTCACAAACGGCGCGCGTTTTCCAAGTGGGGTTTTTAACTGTTTTTCCGCTCCTTTCCCAAACGTGCGTTCCCCTGCTGTAATCGACTAGCTGGCGACCTGCCTTTGACCTTGGGGGAGCGGACTGCCAATTTTTTGTTGCCCTGTTTTCTCTGACCCGTTTTCGGAAAGCCACAGTGCGCTGAGAGACCGACGAAAGCGACTCTCGGAATCAGTGTGCAGATCGCGGCCCGGCAATTAGGGGCGGCTCGGTTCCCATCGGCAGGGCGCCGGCAGAGCGGCAAAGCGCACGACGCCAATCTGCCGCCGATCTGCCGCCGCATTGCAGTTCACTTTGGCGCCGCATTGCTATTCGGCTGCGTGCTGTGTGGCACGCTGTTGCACTGTGCGGCGCCGCTCTGGCGGCGGCGGGTTGGCTCTGGGTGGGATGGCTTCGGAACTTGGAGTCTAGATGCTGGAGTGGTGCCTGGAGTCTTTTGGCCCCTGGTGTCTTGTGGCCCCTGGGGGTCTTGTTGGTCCCCCTGGAGTCTGGGTGGATTCCCTGGGGGTCTGGGTGGATTCCCTGGGGGTCTTTTGGGCCCCTGGAGTCTGGGCCCCTGGAGTCTGGGCCCCTGGAGTCTGGGCCCCTGGAGTCTGGGCCCCTGGAGTCTGGGCCCCTGGAGTCTGGGCCCCTGGAGTCTGGGCCCCTGGAGTCTGGGCCCCTGGAGTCTGGGCCCCTGGAGTCTGGGCCCCTGGAGTCTGGGTCCCTGGAGTCTGGGCCCCTGGAGTCTGGGTGTGATTCCCTGGGGGTCTTTTGGGCCCCTGGAGTCTTTTGGGCCCCTGGGGGTCTTTTGGGCCCCTGGGGGTCTTTTGGGCCCCTGGAGTCTTGGCCCCTGGGAGTCTGGGCCCCTTTGGGGCCCCCGGGGGTCTTGGCCCCTTTTGGCCCCTGGGAGTCTTGTGGCCCCTGGAGTCTTGTGGCCCCTGGAGTCTGGGCTCCTGGAGCCAAGTGCCTCCAGAGTAGAGGGCGTCCGCGGGCTGGCGGCCGCTCTTCAGCATGCTGGTGGCGGGGCCCGCCATTGTCCAGAGGGTCGGCACCCACTCCAGCGGCTCCAGCCGGGCCTGAATGCGACCTCTCCTCGTTGTTCGACTCCTGGCCCGCCGAGGGGCCCAGGCCGCGCGGCCCGCCTGAACGGCGAGTACGGCACGGCGCTCCAAAACTTGGAACTCACTCCGCCGGTGCAGCTGCAGCAGACTGATGCCGAGAGTCGTTTTGGTCGCTCTGTCTCTCTCGCACCCGTACGGGACGCCCCATGAGTCCGAGAGAGGCAGAGCGACGAAAACGACTCTCGGAATCAGTCTGGCTGGCGCTGGCGGGTGGGAACGACGGCCGGAGAAAGGATTGGGCGGCTCTGCCTCGCTTTGCCTTGCTTTGCCCGCCGGGAAAGTTTTTGGCGCGAACGGCCGCGTGAAAACGGTGAGGCGCCGCCGAGCTGCAACGCGGCCAAGTCGGCTAGCCGGCAAGGCGCGCACGGGGACTCGTCTTGCAATATCCGCGCTGAAAGTCAAATCGACTCTGTCGGTCGGGTCGCCAGCAGTCTAGCAATCGGGGAGGAAGTCGAGGTCTGGAATGCGGGCACCCATCGGGGACCTCTTGACCCAGCGCGGATCCAGACTCCTTGACCCCAGATAGACGTCTGGAAGGAAGGTAGCAAAGGCAAAAAGCAACACTTTGACCCTGTAACTAGGCAAAAAGGGCTACTCTCCCCTCCCCCTTCTTCGCAGGACCACCACTGCCGTCGGTGTGAGGTTGGCGGCTGGAAGGCCTTGCGTCTCTTCCAGTTAGCGGACTGATTCCGTGAGTCCTTTTCGTCTCTCGGTCTCTCTCGCACTCATGGGGCGTCCCGTATAGGTGCGAGAGAGACAGAGCGACGACAACGACTCTCGGAATCGGTCTGCAGGGGAGACGGACTCGTGGGCTTCCCTCGCTGGAAGTTGGCCGATGGTGTTTTTGTTGTGTTGGCGCGCGTTTCTGTTTAGTTGCGAAGCTTGTTCCTCCCTCATCCTGTCTGGTTTGCCAGTCGGGCTGCCCGCCTGGCTGCCAGCCCTGGCGGGGCGGCCCGCAGCGCCCGCCTCTAATTTGGCGCGGCGCCGTCTCGGGATGGCGCAGTTGTCGTCTTTTTTTGTTGTCTCGTCATTTTGCGCGCCGCTCGGTGCGCTGCTTGGTGCCCGTCCGCCCCGCCGGGCCCCGCCGGGCCGTGACCCCTTACCTAACCCGCCCCTGGATTGCACGTCCCGCCACGCCGCGGCGCCCGCCGGAATGTCTCGCCGCCATCCGCGGCCGTTCCCACACCATGGCGCCGTTTTGCCGCGTTTTGCCGCGATTAGCCCGTCCCGCTCGCACTCTTTCCCCCTCGCCTCATCGTCTTCCTTCTCCCTCCACCTGCCGCGATCCCCGTCTGTCCAGCATCTCTCCGTCTGCCCAACCTCCGTCTGCCCAACCTCCGTCTGCCCAACCTCCGTCTGCCCGAGGGGGAAATCACTCTTAAAAACTGTGACCCAACTACTCCCTATTACGTTCTATTACGCTATTACAGAAGGCCTATTACGCTCGAAAATATCCAGATTTAGGCTAAAGACGGACCCAAAAAAAGGGAAAATTTTAAAAAATTTGGCTATTACGCTATTACTATTACGCGTAATACTAAGAATGGTGACCCGACTATACGCGAGTGATTTCCCCCTCGCGTCTGCCCAACCTCCGTCTGCCCAACCTCCGTCTGCCCAACCTCCGTCTGCCCAACCTCCGTCTGCCCAACCTCCGTCTGCCCAACCTCCGTCTGCCCAACCTCCGTCTGCCTACCCTTGCCTACCCCTCCACCCCTCCATCTGCCAATCCCTCCATCTGCCATCTGCCCAACCCTCCCGACCCCCCAGCAGACTGATTCCGAGAGTCGTTTTCGTCGCCCTGTCTCTCTTGCACCTACACGGGACGCCCCATGAGTGCGAGAGAGACAGAGCGTCGAGAACGACTTGTCTGCAGCTCGCCTCCCCTCGCTGGTCGGCGTGAGGCTCGGCGTGAGGCCCAATGACCCGGCGAATGGCCGCTGAATGTCCGGCCGTGCTTATGGGGCGGAAGGCAGTCCCCGGCAGTGCCCGGCAGGGGCAGTCAGAGAGAGAGAGAGAGAGAGAGAGAGAGAGGGGGGGGGCAGGGGCGTAAAGTCGGGCCGACCATTGACTCTGCGTGTCTCCACGCGACCGGCCTGAGGCCCTGCAGGACCTAAAAGGCCTAGAAGACCCCTGGAGGCGCGCCGTCGCCGTGCCATACAGTGCAGTGCCACCCCCTTGCTGAGCCATGCCACGCCAAAGCCTCGAGCGCGCCGCCAAAGCAGCCTCTCAATAAGTCCCTCTCACTTCGTCCCTATCCTCCCTCTTCCCCTCCTCCTTCCTCTTCCCCTCCCCCTTCCTCTTCTCCTCCCCCTTCCTCTTCTCCTCCCTCTTCCCCTCCCCGTTTTCCTCCTTTCTCCTTCCCTCCTGTCCAACCAAGAGGGGTTTCTAGGGAGCGAATGGCTCGTGGTGAGGGCGTGGGGGCGGCTGGGATGGCGTTCGCGGTTGTGTAACTGTCAGACCTTTGCATTTTCAATGTTTTACCGTGTACTTTGTCGGCGGCGAGATACTCGTTATCAAAGTAATTTGGGCAAATGATTGCATCCCTAGATAAATGTCAGTCAAATTAAAAGCACTTTGACTTTTTGAACTTGTGTACAAGTGTTTCTGTCTGCTTTTCTAAACAGCGTGTGTTTTAACGTTTTCATTTTTTCTTGTTTTAGGTGAGTACCTGGCGGTGTGCTGACGACCTGGCGAGTGAGCGAGTACGATAGTACGTGAGAGAGTGAGTGTAACGATACTATACCCTAAATGCGTGCGCACTAGTTTTGTACGAGACCTCACTTTCTTTTTTAAACACACGAGCAATTCGTACGAAATTGTTTGCTCGCAAATTTCGACATTGTCGTGCGATTTCACATAACACCAATTGTACGTAAAATTTCGTGTGTTCAAAATAAAATGCGTGGGTTCTCGCACGAATTAGTGTAGGAAAGGTTTGGTGTGGGCGAGCGAGAGTGAGAACGATGTGTGGTGTAGAGTAAGCCGAACGCTTCAGACGAGTCGAACTACACTCTATTTAGTTTAACGCCCAGTTTGCGCGCACCTACACTGCAGGAAATAACCACAACAAAAGTACACAAATTTCTGACAAATTTTTTATCAGGAATTTAGTGTACTTTTCAAGTACAACAATTGTTGTACAAAGTACAATGGAACCGGCATGACGAGTGCTGTGCAGTCCAGGGCTCGTTGTGGTTTGTACAATTCTCGTTGTACTTTCCACAATCCCTGTTGTACTTTTGTTGAACAGTTTTTGTTGTACTTTTGTAGTACTATCCACACTTTTTCTAGCAGTGTAGTATGTAGTTCCCTTGGTGAGAATGATAGTATTGTTTACGAAGAAGGCGGCGGAAAGGGAGTGGGAAAGCTTCGTTTCCAAAACCAGTCAAAAGCCAGCCGCAGTTTTAGTTTTCGTTTTTATTGAATTTATTGTCTCTCCTGCCGGTTTCGCGGGGCCACCCGTGCCGCCCAACCCATGTCGTCCACATTCCAGCCGTTCATTAATTGGATGGATTCATTCATTCCGGCTAGCATTCGTTGAGGCCATTCATTCGTTCGGCGTGCTCCGGGCGGGGTCCATGGCCTTGCTGTGCCACTGCCGTGACTCATCCCCCCCCCCCGTTCTTCGCCTCTCTTCTCCCCCCTCCCCCTCCTTGCCCCTCTTTCCTTTCTCAATCTCCTCCTGGTCTTAGATTGGGTGCAGCACCCAGTGGGCACAGGCGGCCAAAACTCAAGGCGCGTTTTGAGCTCCGGAGATGCTAAAACAAGGCTCGAACCGGGATTTTTCAAAAATCATTTTTGACCGCCTTCTTAAGTTTTTACTGTGCTGTGCAGCTACATACCCCACACCCTTAGATCTTATCAGTTCAGAATGTCTCAAGGTCATATTTACAACTTTTTTAGTTGAAGGGGGAGCGACGTTTCTCTTTTTCACCACACAAGGACCTCTAGATGTGAGTGTCACTTGCTGGGACGAAAAGTGGTTGACATTTGTAGTGCAAGATTTTTTTTTAAACATGACTGGCACTCTCTTAAAGAGCCGCGAGTAGTTTCCGTGACAATTTGCGGTAGAAAGGGAGAGGAGATGATCATGGTTTCTCCTTCACTCCACCCAAGCTGGCTCAAATGTCAGGCTGGGACTAAGAAGTAGTACCTACAATCGGAAATAACAATGGCAAATATATTCCTTCGCATCAGTGCAGGCAGCAATGTCTGATGTTTTTTTTTTAAATAATCATTTTTTTTACGTAAAGGGAGAGCATCTTTCCATTTCCACCCTAGGTGTGAGTGTCACTCGCTGGGACTAAGAGTGGTTGACAAACCAATTTAGAATGACAATATTTAGCAGCCACCTCCACATCAGTTATTGCAGCAATGCGTAATGGTTATTTCTATATCCATTTTTTGACGTGGAGGGAGAGCAACTTTCCATTTCCACCCCAGGTGGGAGGGTCCCTCGCTGGGACTAAGAGTGGTTGACATTTTTTGTGCAACATGCTTTGAAATTGGACCAAAACTCTCTGAAAGAGCCGCAAATAGTTTCCATGACCATTTGCGGTAGAAACGGAGAGAAGAGGATGATGGGTTCTCTCTCCCTCCGCCCTAGCTGGCTCAAATGTCGGGCTGGGACTAAGAAGTACTTACAATCGGAAATAACAATGGCAAATATTTACCTTCACATCAGTGCAGGCAGCAATGTCTGATGGTTATTTTTTTTTAAATAACCATTTTTGGACGTAAAGGGTGAGCATCTTTCCATTTCCACCCTAGGCGTGAGTGTCACTCGCTGGGACTAAGAGTGGTTGACAATCCAATTTAGAATGTATTTAGCAGCCACCTCCACATCAGTTAATGCAGCAATGCGTAATGGTTATTTGTTATTTCTATATCCATTTTTGACGTGGAGGGAG